AAACATAGCTAGGCTATTTTAGTTCCCCTCACTCCACAACAAATCCGTTCAATTAACAGTATTTAGAAGAAAAAAACAAGAATTAAAAATATAAGAAGCTATAGTTTTATAAACGACAAGCCAAAACGAATTCATTTAGGCTAAAACGAAACTGAAACCAACGTTGGGTCTCTCATTCCACACATAAACACTGTAAACATAGCTAGGCTATTTTAGTTCCCCTCACTCCACAACAAATCCTTTCAATTAACAGTATTTAGAAAAGAACAAGAATTAAAAATATAAGAAGCTATTAACCTAGCAATATAAATGACAATCCAAAACTAATTAATTTAGGCTAAAACGAAACTGAAACCAACGTTGGGTCTCTCATTCCACACAAAATCAAATGTTTCCGTATTCACGATGTATTTGAATGCCACAATATTATGTAGCCTACGTAGGTAAGTACGTACTTCACTGGCGTTCCAATATCCACGTAAAACAAAATGTTTAGCATAACATCACGGCGGTACGGTGATAACGCTTAACGGCACAGACTTTACTACATAGTTTTTCTCCATATGTTTGACTGACTGTATTGTATGATGATGATGAACAGGCTGCATTGTCAAGGTAGCAAAGCTTAACTTAACTTATTAAGCAAACTAAATAGCCTTATGTTATTTATCTTATTTATACGACGGCGTGTCATTTCTGTCTCTACGTTATGGTCGCGCTCTCTGCATTTTTAAGGAATAATCATACAATATTTCTTCACATATGTCTGACTGACTGTATTTTATTATGATAATGAACAGGCTGCATTGTCAAGGTAGCAAAGCTTAACTGTGTGCGTATGCGGCGCCGGCACAATCACTTCATTGAGTTTTTTCCTTCTAAAGGCCAATTCACACCGCGCCGACAAACGCCAACAGACACGTTGGCCGCTGGATTTAGAATTTTATGAAAAATAACTGTCATGTTCACACTGCCCCAACAGACACCAACAGACTTCAAGTCAGAGAGACTTAACTAGGGGGAAAATGGATGATCTTGTAACAACAATCAAAATGATACTGTTATTAATGTCTTTGGTAATATTGTAAGGCAGTTTTATTATAATAATAATATATTGTCAAATAAATTTCCGTTGTGAAATTTCCCAAGCGCTGTAGCGATATCTGATCGCAATCCCCCTCGCGTTGCGGTTGGTATACTCGGCCACACCCGCCGCATAAAGCTCTGGCCTCTCCTCCCAGATCCAAAAACTGTTCCTCTTTCTGGTTTGTCCAGAAACCTGCCATTTTTAAAGTTATTTTCCTAAGCGCGCCCAGCACCTACTGGCAGTCTTGCCTCATTGTCATGGCAACGGTTCGTGGCCAGGTCAGATTACGTCAGAGTTTGTTGTCGTTTGTTGGAAAATCATATCACACTGCTCAGACATTCCACGACCCAACAAACGCCGATTAAACATGTTCAGTCGGGTTAAAACCAACTCCGACCAACGCCAACAAATGCCGACAGGTGTAACACACTGATCCAACAAACTCCGACAGAGGATGCCGCTTTCTGTCGTCTGTTTCCTTTCGCGCAGCACAAAAATCAACCGAAACTCTGCATACTAGGCTACTTGTTGCACAATTTTTCTTTCGTTTTCTCGTATAGGCCCATTTATTATTAATATATATATATATAGCCTAGCTTTATTATGTTTTTCTCCGCTTGCAGCGCTGCAAGTGCGTGATGTGATATGAAGACCGTGAATCATGTTCTGTTGTTTGCTGCTTTTTGCGCATGTAAAATTAATCCCTGGGAAACAAATGTTAGTATTTTTAACGATTCACAGACACTTATCCTTTCTAATTTAATTAAATTCGAATTTAAAATAATCTTATCGTTTAACGGTTAACAATCGGTTAACGAGCGTCGGTTAGGAAAAATAACCGAAATGAACATCCCTAATTGGGACACAGCTTTAGACAACTTAATCCAGATATTATAATCAAATCCGCAAATTCGTGTGAAGAACCAATTTAGCCAGAGATCGGTTGGGCTATCATGATTAGAAGATCTGGCATCTTTCAAATCATCTCCGATGTATCAAGCGAGGTACGACGAATGGCCCCCGGATGAGCTTTGAAGAAACAAACAATCCAAGATCACACCAAATTGTCAACAATCAAATCCAGCTGAGTTAGTGATGTACGAAGAACGGGCCCCTGATCTTCACTGCTCTCACGGCAGGATTGTATATTGTTCCCACAGCGATTCTTGCAATGTAGAGTGAACGCTCGATGGAGAAAGTCTCTGGTTAGTGTCTAACCTCGGTTTCCTGAGAGCGTTCGGTCTCAGATTCTGACGCAATTGTCGCTCTCGCTGCATTTATACTGCCTGCGAGCTTGTCAGTATTTGCATGCGATTTGCATAAGTAGCGATAATTGGCCAGTTTAATGAACCTGGCAATCTGGCATTATCCTATAAGGTTTCAGGAAATTGGAGAAGGGGAAGAGTTCCCACAGTGATTCTCGCAATGTCTCATTCAACTCAAAGAAATTGAGGTTACGACAGTAACCGGAGACGTTTTTAGGCTATATTTTGGAAATTTGCCTAACATCCATTGGAGAGTTGATGTTATAAGGCCCGTTCCGATTCATTTGATTTCTGTCAAAATTCCTTATAAATATCATAATTCCCTGCATAAAATTTGATCTTAACACAGTTAAGCTCACTCAGAGTATGTATTTTGTGCGTATGCATGCTTTAGTCATTTTGCAAATTTTAGTACAAAAGTTAGTGACAAATGTTCATATGCATATTTTACGCACAAATTTGTGCCTAGGCATGCTTAGTGAATGAGACCTAATTAAACAAATTGAATGTTTTATGAATAAACAAGCCTGATAAAAGAGATGTTAAATTGTGGTTTAGTCATAAAGTAACACAAGGCTGAATATAGAGCTAAATAAGACAAAAATGCAAGGATTGTTAATGGTATATGTCTCTTTATTATACTTCAATTGTCTCCCCTCCTTTAAGTACCCAGAGCCTTGTTTCTGGCTACTGGTATAGTGCCTTTCTTAATGCTGGACTAAATTAGGAATTTTACTTTGTAGTGAAGCTAATCCATAACATTATGCTTTGGATTACAATTCCACATTTTTAATGACATTTACAATTAATAAATGAATACATTTTTTTATTGTGTTGCATAAATAAAATATCAACTGTAGCCATCTGCACAGAAATGATGAAACCCAAGAGGATATCATGGAAAAAAAGAAAGTGTGTGTGTGTCTATATATACAGTAGTCAACATTTGAAGTGGATCAAAAAAGTTCTTTGCTTGATTTGTACATAACTGATGCCGTTTAAATAATTTTGTTGTTTTAATGCCACTACAAAATTAAAGTCTGTGAGGCAAAAAAATCATAATGCACAATGGCTGACTGTTGAAGAACAATAGTGAAATGTTTTCCACTGTATAGAGCCTGTAGCAATATTCTAGGAGGTCACATACAAATCTGGAGTGTCCTTTTATGACCACTACAAACCATTTGCAAGGACACAAAATGCTAAAAAATTACTACCTTGATGTTACACTGTGCTATTCTCGCTCTCTCTCTCTCTCTCCCCTTAATATATATATATATATATATATATATATACACTAGTCAACATTTGAAGTGGATCAAAACCTTTCATCAAAGTTGTCCTAAAACCAAATCAATACCCATTCTTGTCTTATGACAACTTTGAACTTTTTTGATCCACTTCAAATGTTGACTAGTGTATATATATATATATATATATATATTAAGGGGAGAGAGAGAGAGAGAGAGCGAGAATAGCACAGTGTAACATCAAGGTAGTAATTTTTTAGCATTTTGTGTCCTTGCAAATGGTTTGTAGTGGTCATAAAAGGACACTCCAGATTTGTATGTGACCTCCTAGAATATTGCTACAGGCTCTATACAGTGGAAAACATTTCACTATTGTTCTTCAACAGTCAGCCATTGTGCATTGTTTTTTTTCCTATCACAAATAGACTTTACTGTTGTAGCGGCATTTAAAGAACAAAAGTTAAACAGCATCAGTTATGTACAAAAGAAGCAAAAATTATCATAAATCAATTATCAAATGTTGTTTGGGGACTTGTTTGGTATGATGCATAGATGTTGCTCAAAGATTTCAGAATATCAGTAGTTTTGCGGTAGGATCTTGTGTCTTTGTAATAATATTTTAGAACTAGCTACATTTTTTTAATGGACATCCTAAGCTAAATCTAATCATAACTAGTTTTCTACATATGCTCAGTAATAATGTCCAAAATGAAAACTAAGGGGTTCAAGAAGAGAGCAAAAAGCACATCTGATAAATCTGCTAGTCAGCTATCTGAAATATGAAACAAACATTTAACTGTTTCTGGGATGCCTGATCCCAAAATAGTTGAAACTGAAACAGTATGAACATCTCTGAAAAAAAACAAATTTATAATTTATGAAATTCCCAAAGATGAAAAAAAAGATGGTAACACTATATAATGTGTCCAAGGTCCCTTTTTCATAAATATCAAATGAAAGTAACAGGGAAAATATACACACTGTATAAGTAAAGCATACAATCAAATAGCAGTTATATACACAACCTTCCCTGATCAGTTAAGGCCCAAGTGTAGAGGGTATGCAGTCATTGCCAACATCCCTTTGTCTACTATGTTCCATAAAAAAAAAAAACATTCTCTTTATGTCAAATGCAAAACAAGCATCCTGACACTTATGTAGGCCATTTAATTGTCTGCACTCATATAGAAAGAGAGGCAACTATCGGAAACAAAACAAAAATTGCCTTTCTTCTCATTTTCATCTTGTAGAACAGTCTTTAAATACATATGTACATAACTCCTGAATCCTCCCAGAGGCATCTTGTGATCAAAGTCCTTCCTTTACAGTACAATGTAAAGTACACTGTGGTGACATGTTCGTGAAAAAAGGAGGTTTGGAGATAACTCTGTTTCTGCCTGAGCTGGACTGATGTTTCAAAGCATACCAAAGCCCTCACTCCCCTCACTGATGGCCAGTTTCAGCAGCTTGTGGAGCTCTTCGTAGGAGTCATATGTTGGGAGGCACAGCTGGTTAAAACTGGTTAAAACAGAACAATGTGGGAAGAGGGGTTAAACATGCAAGCCTAATATAAAAATATCACTTTTACCTATAGATGCATCCGACAAAACTATATTTATATTGCTAGAAACATTAATACAGTATATTTAAACATTTTTATTATGTAAAAAAAATCATGATAGTTATTGTTAAGTAAATAATGTTTTATTTTTTTCTAATCAAATGGCAACAAGTGCAAAAACCTATTATGCAAAAATCACTAAAGGGGACCTATTATGCAAAAATCACTTTTATAAGAGCAAAATGTATATTTTACTCAGAATTATTGCGCTCCTATTCGATTGCGCTCAGTCTGTTTAGCTCGTTCACTCGCGTCAGTCTCGCCCACTCCTGACAGCAAAATGGATATTTTTGCATGACTTTCTAACATTTACAGATGAAAAATATACCTGTGACATGTCAGTTATGCTCTGAGGAAAACACAATGTCTTAAATGCATTAAACAGCACAAATATGTTTGCTGTTTACCATGGTTTTTTAAAGGTGCCACAGAATGCAAAAATCACTTTTATAAGGTGTTTGAACATAGTTGTGTGGCCGCAGTGTGTGAAAACAACCAGCCTATAATGGTAAAAATCCACCCACTCATTTTTTTATAATCCCAATAAATCATAAACAGTCTCTCAGAACAAGAAATTCCAGATTCTCCCTACGTACACATCATCTAAGGGAAAAGTCCCGCCCATTTGTGATGCTCTCTACCTTATTAGCATAAACACAGCCCTGATCGAGAAGCAGCAGTCCACCATTTTGTTTTCTTGCTGATGCTGTTTGTCAGCGCCAAAGAGGCATTAGAAATGTTGTTTTTTAGGATGCACAAACCAACATAGGAGTCTCTAGTGTTGTTTTTGGCGGCCTGTTTTAATTTTAGTTTTAGTCTAGTCTTTGTGTGAAGCTGTCATTTTAGTTTTTATTAGTTTTAGTCACGTTCATACTCTTTTTAGTCTAGTCAAGTTTTAGTCAAC